TTCTCTGATTTCTTTTTCTCATCCTACCTTATAGAGTTCCTTCCAACTTTTTTTTTCACTTCCTTTTGCTTTGATGCTGATTGATTTTAAACATCCCATTTCTTCAGCTAAGAGAAATAGACTGGACTGTCTCTGACAGTCTTGCTCTTCTGCAAAGGAATGTAGAGAAGCTGTTAAAGTGCCAGCATTTTATGTTTTTCCCAGTAATAATGCTGTAAAGACCTTGCAATACAATTGTTCTGTCTTGATTGATATATTCTCATTATCATCACTGAATTATTTGCAGAGGTAAATGACAAGGCTCTATTTTCTCATACTTTATCTTTTTACAGAATGCATCCAGCAAAGTTGCTAATGGAAAAGCTTTTAACCTCCCAAGACAGCGGGTGATCTTTGCCCATCTGTGTTAGCGTCTGACACGTGGAACTGAGTGATGCCACGAGCTGCAGAAAATTCCTGCTCCTGGGTTTGCAGCCCTCCTGGAGGTTATTGGTAGCTTTAATAGGCAGCAAAAGGTGACTGGCGTAGCAGTGGGGATAAACTGTTTACTTCAAAAATTAAAGAGAATGGAAAGGACAAATCTATTGCCCTGTTTCAGGTCAGGGACAGTTAACCTGTATTTCCTGACTTGGTCGATGCGTTTCCAGGCAGTCTGGATGGCTAGAAAGATGGTGCTAGTTGTGCTCTATTACACGATGAAAAGCAAAATGCTTCCAAGGAGAAATATTGCTTTAGGACATTAGCAAAATGGATTGATCTTTGCCTGAATACCCCAGGCATGACGTTGTTGCACGATGCATCCTGCAGACCGGACTGCGGACGCCCGCTGGTCTTGGCAGCTCTCTGTGTTAAATTGCCAAGTTCTTTAAAGATGGCATAGATGGACTAGGAGTGAGTGACCTGGAGACCCAGGGAATGTTTCTTTTATTAGTGGGAGGAAATAAATAAAAAAAAAAAAAAACAGTGCATTTGAAGATAGAAGAGCCAGAGATGACCAACAGGGCTGTCTGTCTGTGGTGAGTTTTTTTTGTTTGCTTTTTAAATTTTTTTTAGAACAGTTTCATTTGTGTCTCCAGTGCTGATGTTTGCAGATGCCATGACTGTGTTGAGAACAACTAGTTGTGAGCATCAAACTCTGACTCTGTGCATAACACAGACCCAGTAGATCTCTGAATCAGCTCCTGTCCGGGGTTGTGCCAGAAGGTGTACCGTGGAGAGGAAAGGTTGATTTTCCATGTCTGGTGGTAAGGAATCAACGCCGCGCATACTCCAACAGAGAGTTACTCTTGCTGTTATAAAAGGTTTAAAGTTTGAATCTTTGGCTCTTGCTAGACCTTTTTCCAACTGACTGGAGGGCTCACCATAATCAAATTTTGGCTTGAAGGTATGTAGGTATGTACAAACACTGATCAATTCATCTTCCAACCTCTTCTGATGGCTAAAGACATTGCTGTCCTTGAGCATGAACCATGTTTTCTCTTTCCTCCTTTGCACCCTTGTCCGAACCTCCCCGCTTCCTTGGCCGTGCCTGGGGGGACACCAGGCTGTATGGCAGGTAGCCCAGCAGTGATCCCTTGGGAACACCTTATGTCCCCTGATTGTCCCACCCAATTCTTTGTGAGCAATGTTTATATCAGCTTTCCAGCTAGCTCTTACTCTGCATGGCTGAGTATAGTGAAACCAAGAAAAGATGGTAGGAAAAACAAGCAGAAGGCAAAACAAAGACAGGAATAGTTACTATGCTGGGGCTATACTTGTGCAGGTAATTTCTTACAGCTGTTCTCTGTAACCAACCAAGAAGTGTTCAGTAAATAACGTTAAGAACAATTTACCCCCCACAAGCTACAAGGCATCTTGGACAAATCCTGCCTTTTTCTTTTTCTATTGATAAGACTGAATTTGACAGTTGGCAGGGAACCCTGCCACTCACTGTGGGAATGCTTCCCCATGCGTCTACTGTGCAGAATGGACCTCCTGAAACTCTTCAGCAATAGAGAGAAATGCAAAAAATAATGTTTCTACTCAGTCTAAACCAAGGGAGGCAATGAGATACAGCTGAGACATCGAAGGACGACAGAAATTGCTGGAATTGGGAGACCAATAGTCCCATTTTCTGCATATTATATTACTGTAATCAAGAAACAATCTAGTTGTTCTTCCTACAAAAAATAGCTTATACTGAGTGGTTGTTAAAGACATGTTTTTGTCTATGTAAATCTTGTAACAACTCTAGGAAATCACTTAAATCCAGAAGAACTTTCGGCTGACACCTCAAAAAGCACCAAGAGAAGCGTTTCACTGCAGGTATTAACATGCTCTAGTAGTGCAAAGTTTCACCTCGGGCTCCCAGGAAGGAAGTAGCCTCCCTCCGCACGCAGGAGGCCTTGTGAGCCCCTGCCCGCGCCACCAATGTGAGTGGGCAGCGCGGCCAGCGTGGGGACACGCGTGCCTGGGCTGCCCTTGGAGGGGGCAGCGCTCCTACCCTGCACGGAACCCACCTGCCCGTTGGCTGGCTTCAAAAATCACTGTCCCCATTGCTGGTAACTAGTAATGCTTCCTTTGTCTAAAGAAGTGGGCTTAATTTCTTCCTAAACCATTTGTGAAATTGGATTACATTTCTGGCTGTTTCAAACCATTTCTTGCTGCATTTATGAGTTTTAACTTTACATTGTAATAATCTGTAGCTATTGCATTTCCTTTTTATCCTTCTCTTTTGGGGTGGCAATTTGTCCTGCAGTGATGGTACAGGCTGGGGCGAGATACTAGGAAAATTAGATCAAATTATGGTGTAATGCCATGGTATGACTCACTTCTGTTATGGTGTAGTCTTACAAAAACAGGACATGGAACAAAATGTACTTTTATAGAAAGGGCTTTTAAAAAATATTGTTATTTCTTCTTAAAAGCCAAACTGGTAGTCTCTTCCTGGTTTATATTTTCATGCAGCATTGAGTTTGTTATGTGGGCTATGTATGTTGTCACCAGCAATTGTTGGTGGGGGTGGATGTAGATCAAGAAGCTAAGAATCTGAAATATTATATTCTGTACCATGCGATTACTCCCTGCTATCCTTGTATGTTGTGGACTGAGGAGGGGGAAGCATTTACAGGGAGACGGCAAAGACATTTTTGGTCATTGGACCAAATGCTATAGAGCAGTAGGGAGGGAGGACCCAACTTCACTGGCATCTGTTCTTGTGAAACGCACAGTTCTGTGTTTGCCAGCCCCTTGGTGTGTTGTGGGAATGGGGCTTATGCAGCCGTTTGGAGACCGAGGGCTTCTCGCGTGTCGGTCCGTCATGATGTGCAGTGGACACGTGTGTCCCCCAGCCGGGGCGACTCCCGGGCTTGAAGCACTGCTCTCCTTTTCCGTCCTGAAGAAGGAGAAAGGAATGAAAAAAAACGGTGTTACATCTTCGATCCTTGTAAATGTAGGTTATCCAAGTCCTGAGAAAAGGTATTTCCCAAAAATATGTGAGGAGAACTGCCAGCTCTCTGAAAGCTTGATTCCAGTCAGCTTCCACTTTAGAGGGCTTTATTTATGTGCAAAGTTTGTCGTGGTTATGAATCATGTCATGACTGATTTTAACAAAAGTATGTGCATGTACCTAAGTACTAACTAATACATATTATAGGTGTGTTGTTCTGAAGATGAGGGAAAAACTCAGTTTAAAATTGTAGAAATCATTTTTCTGTTTGAGCTTTATAATGAAAGTTTATTTTCTTTTGTTGCCTTCATGGTTCTGGAAAAAAAAAGGTTTTAAATATTTAAAAGTGGTCAGATGAAAACTGTCACATAATGACTGTGAGAGTTCTGAGTCGGTGCACTATAAATAAAACAAAATACTAGAATAAATCTCATTAACAAATAAGCATAATACATTTTATTCTGAAAGTCCCATAAATTCCTCTCTACCTGTCAGCAGTGAGGCTACAATTGCTTTTCTCTGCAGGCAAGAGAACCTGCAAGAGGGAGACCCACAAGTTGTCCTTTGCAAAGAGAAAATTTAAAGTAAATGAGGGTAGTAATTAATAATAACCCAGCATGACTAAAACTCTTTTACAAGGCTGAAAGTGTGTTTAAATACAGATAAATTCTTTTCACTATAGCAGCTGAGTTTGAACCGCAGGGGAGAGAGTACCACAGTGGTTTTCAAAAGCACAGCAGAAAATTACTAGCAATTGTTGTATAAAAAAGTGATTTTTATCCAGTTATTTAATTCTTTTCTTTGATCTTTGACCTAATGTGGCAGGTGTCTTCACTATTGTATAAAAAAGCTGCCAACAATTTCACTTATTTTATAAAATGAAAAAGAAGGATCAAAAATCTAGATAAGAGGAGCTCTCTGAGAAGAGGCCAGGGGATGTTTAGAGGGGATTACTCGGGGGAAGAAGTGCCTGATTTCCAGTCAGATCCCGCCGCGCGGTGCTGGGGACATGGCTGGTGGGTCCCCACGCAGGCTGGCCGGGGCCGTGCTGAGCTGGGGAAATGAAGGCTGCAGGCGGCCTCATCAACGGGGCTCATTTATAGAGGGGTGGCCCGTTGTGGTAAGAGTCAAGTTTTCTTCCATAGGATTTTAGAGTCTTTCAATATTGCGGGCAGTGCATGCTATAAATAAGTACCAGGACCGTAATGCTTGCTATGTAGATAAGTGGAGGATGCTAGATTAGAGGAGCTGCTCTGTTATACTGAGCCGTTATGAGCAGAGAATTTCTCTGAACGATCTTGCTGAAAAAGTGCTCTAAAAAGGGGGAGGAAAAAAAAAAAAAGGCAGGAAAGAGAATGAGTGAGTGTGAGCACGCCTACAACTTGCTAGCAAACTTCTCCCTCTTATTTTATGTGGGAACAGGAGGAACTCTGCCATTGAAAGTTATTCTAGCTTTGGAAGAGGAAAGAAGTAATCCTCCAGAGGCCTTTTCCAAGGATTTAGGTCTCTGAGGTGCCCAGCTTCATTCCAAACCCCCTCCGGTTTAGTGAAATTTCTGTTAATTCTCCCACAGTGGTTGTGATGTGGCTCTCCGGGAGCCGGTGTGGGTGCCTGACGCATCGGGTGCCACCCGAGCTTGGCTCCCTGTGTGCACGAGGGCTCTCCCGCTGCAGGGAGGGCAGATCCAGGCATTCCGGGCGGAGGGCTGGGAGCTGGGGCGGTCAGCACAGGGCGAGCTGCAGGCCCCGAGGGCCCTGCGTGCTGTCGTTCTGCCGTGCAGGCATCAGCTCAGCAGCTGCTGCGCCGCCAGGGCTGCGTGGCCCTGCTGCGGGCTGCGCTGCTGCTGCTGCAGGAAGAGATGCGCGCCGGCCTTGCCGTGCCCTGAGGAACTCGCTGCTCCTGCTGCGAGAAGGGACCCGTGTCGGCCTTGCTGCGCGCTGAGGAGCCCGATCTCCCGCTGTGGGAAGAGACCTGTGCTGGCCCTGCCGTGCCCTGAGGGATTCGCTGCTCCCGCTGCGGGAAGGGACCTGTGTCGGCCTTGCTGTGCACTGAGGAGCCCGATCTCCCGCTGTGGGAAGGGGCCCGTGCCAGCTGTGCCAGGGGAACCCGCTGCTCCCGCTGCGGGAAGGGGCCCATGTCGGCCCACCGCGCGCCGCAGGAGCCTGCTGCCCCAGGATGGTGGCTCTAGCAAACTGCCGAGACAGGACCAAATGTCCTGGCTCTTGTTTTTCTTCTTTTGGATGAATAAATCATTTTCTCCTTTGGAAGTCCCTTCAACATGAACATAACATTATTTCAGGTAGATGGGATATAAAGAAGTAACGTCGAAATAGTGAGGGATGCATTATTTTAGAAGTAAGATATTTGCAGCTTTTGAGTTTTCAATAGGTTTCCCTTGCTTATAAATCCAAAAGAGAGTAAGAATATGTGTGTTAAATATGATATAAAGGCTGGCATTGAAATCATAGCCTTCAAAGATGAAAAATACCTATTACAAACCATCTTGTCAGTTCCCCTGCCAGTGCTGGCTTCTTCTCCTGTAATCTCTCTTCCAGTGTTGTTTGTTGGTGGATTGGAGCAATCTCTCTATAGAAAAGAGAACAGTTCTCTTCTGGATTGCGTCCAATTTTGTGTAACTTGTATGTCAGAAAGACTATGAAAGGGGAGTATTCAAGTGCTAGGCTCTGCACTGGGCCTGGACAAAGGAGTGCAAATATAAAGTACTCTGAAAAGGTAACATTCCAATTCCTGAAGTACGTTTTATTTGAATGACTTTTTATGAATTCCAATACTGGAAAACTACTTTGTTGCGTGTAGCTGTATTTTCCATTGTAACATGCATTTACATTTGTGAGAGTACATAATGATACATAACTTTGTCCTTCATGAGATGTACTGCAGGTAACAGTTTTATTCCAGTTTTTCAGCTAAGCTGTCGTCTGTCTCTTGATGTTACGGTTTCACTGCCGTCCCCTTTGTACTGACTGTTTCTTGCTGGGCTGCGGTCCTCCCGAGTCCATTGTAGCTTATCTTGTCCGCTATTTTTCCATAAGTTTGTGAGATAAATGCCTGGTTATGCGTGCGCTTGAGTTGGAATTCATGGGGAGTTTGCATAGATAAATGTTCTGCTTGTTGTAGATAATGAAGTTCACAGAAAATGAAGTCATGCAGTCTGACTTTCAAAATGAGAAATCAATATATTTTCAGTCTCATTTCTCTTATTCATAAAATATGTTAGTACATAAAAGCAAATATTTTTACTTTAAAATAAATCTTCATGTATCAAATCTCAGTGACTGTGTACAGTTTATCGTTTCTCAGGGTAGCTGTGTAAAGATGCTGGAATTTAATTTCATGGGACTTTTGTAATCTTTGCTGCTGCTAGACAAAAAGAGGGGTTGGAGAATATGCGGGGATATGGAAGTAGCTGTAGAGAGGAAGTTGGGTTTGATTTGACTGTGACTGAATCTGGTAGAAGTTTGTGGAGCAGGGCAAGGAAAGGATTGTGCCTTGTGTTCATTTTTCATTGAGTTCAGTGTCAGGATTCATGCAAAAGCAGTTCATTCTAATTGAATGCTGGAGAATATTCATAGAAAGTAAATTTAAACATCAAGTGTAAATATCTGTACCTAAAATGTGACAACGTGCCCTCGCAAAAGGTGGGGCCCTGCAGAGAAGAACAGCAGCAGCAAAACCCTAAATGGAAACAGCAGCGCAGTGAGTGCAGCTTGCCCTCGGATGCTGGTGCGGTCCAGGGCGTTCCGAGTGCTGTACCTGGACTGTCGAGGGCTCCCAGATTGGCTGCACAAACAGTCCTTGAATAACAAACCCAGCAGGGATGTCCTGAGGGGCCGATTCACTGCCAGGAAACAGGTGAATGAATTACCCAGATTGTTCTCTGATGTAGTTGATCAGATTTTCCATTCTGCTGGAGGTTTTGGCGGCGTCTCGGATGCGCGAGCTGCAGTGATGCACGGGCACCCGGTGCAGCGGCCTGGCTCTGTCGCACTCGTTCTCGTGCTGGGCAGTGAGTTACCAGCTCATTACTCACAGGATTGTGAAAGCATCACCCTGTGCTGGATGGACTGCTCTGGCCGTGCTGGGGAGCCTTCTGGAAGGGCCGTAGACGCTTCTTGCTAGAGCTCCCCAAAACACAGCAGGTAACAGTAACGTGTTGGTTCTGTCCGGGTGCTCCAGGGCTGGGAAACTGCTTCCCATGCCCCTGGAGAGCCTCGGCAGCCCCAAGGGACTTTCTGCAGCCTGCGATGCACTGGAACCCCTTTGCAACTTGATGCAAACCCCTTCTCTGAACAGCGTTCAGCTCTGCCAGCAGGTGCAAATAGCTGGGAAATTCCAGATTGTGCAGTGACCTACTTTACCGCTCTTTTCAAGTTCTGGGAAGACTGCCAGGAAGTTAAGTCTTAATTGTTCCGAGGTTGGCCCATTAGCTTGTGTGTCTCTTCACAAGAGACAAGGCAGGTGGTGAGCACGGAGCCACCGCGGGCTCCGCGGGGCGACGGGAGCCCCGGCCACGCTGGAGCGCGCGCTCCGGAGGTGCTCGCTGCCGGGCTGGGTCTGAGGCCAGAGCCGCAGTTGTAGAAGTCCTTCCTCCTGCCTGAACAGACTGTGGCCAGACTTGCTGAGCTCCTGCGGGTGAGGCAAAGCTTCAATATTTGGTCAGGTTTTCTGAGAGGAGCCAGATTTACAGAGACTTTTATATCAACTTATCTGAAGAGTATCCAGCAATATGCAAGAAATTCATGATTTTCTCTGTAACACTGTCTCTGTGCCTTAGTCAGGAAGGAATACATTTCCATACCAAAAGAACATTGTACCTGCAATGTATAATTACTTCATCGTTAATAGGTCTAGTAGAGAGTTTTTAGGAAAACAGACTAGGTGAATATTCCTGTGTTGTAACCACAGCTTTTCAGGGGAATTCCCAGATCTGTTGTCGCTGGATCAGTCTCGGTTACAGCAAGTGCTGGCGGGAGAGTGTCTGGAAGGAAAGGAAACAGCGCCCGGGTTGGAGGGGACTTTCTGGGTGCAGATGGGCCATGCTTTGGTCTCTGGCCTGAGTGGGACCACCCCACTGAACTGGGGGTTTCTCGTGTCTTTGGCAAACTCCGTGGCTGCCGAGAGAAGAGAGATTCTGACAGGGGACTGCGGACATGAGAGAAGGGACAAGGTGTGGAGCCGCCCTGCCCTCCCTGCTCGCTGCATGCAGTACGATTTACAGTCCCAGCTGTGCTTATGGGGTTTAAGCAACTTATCGCGATACAAAATTACAGACAAAAGTATTCAGTCGATGAATGGTCTAATGCAAACTTGGAGATTCCTGCTTTGACTGTTGCTCTTCTCTATCCAACTTAGTCCTCTTTGAAATAGCACAGTTGCTTTATTGTTAAAAACAAAGCAAAATAGAACGTGTCACCAGTTGCCATCAGGGAAGAAATTTAAACAATAATGTTTAAATGTTAAACGCCACCAACAATGTGATTTCTCCCATCCAGAGGTTATCCTTATAATATTTATAGAGAAGGATGAAACATGGTCACCAGACTGATTTAGCAGGGCTGACAGTATTTTTCTAAGCAAGAATAATGATAGATTATACAGGATAATATTCATCTGGAACGTTGCTAGGTGGGATATTGGATGTTTCATTGGGAGAGGCCTTTACCTTTATTTTGAAAGTGCTGATTTCAAGGGGAATTTGGTTAGTTCCATCATACTTCCAAGGAGCACAAAGAACTACATGAAACGGTTTTAGAAATAGTTGTTTTCCCTATATAATAACAAAACTGTTTGGTTTTCTGCATGCAAGATCTCAGAGCAGTTTACAGCTGGGTCACAGATAACCAGAGGGCGCCTTTCTCCGTGTCATGGCAGCACTCCCTGTCTCTCCGAGGTCACCCTGCATGGTGTGACGGAGGTGACAGCTTTCCGGGGCAGGAGGGACTGGGTTCTCATCAGGTGGCACCAGCGGGACCGGGCCTGCCTGGCTGCCCCTGTCACTGTGACCAGCCCCAGGATCCCAGGTGGCAGCTCTTGCCAACAGAGTCAAGGGGGTTGGTTGGTTGGTTTGTTTTATTTTATCTATTTTTTTTCTCCCTGTGCCCTGTTGTCACTTTGTGAATGTAACTTTCTTGGACGCTTGGGATATAAACTGAGGTTTTCCTTATCATGCACTGCGTTTCTCTGCGTCTTCTGAAAGAATTGCGGTTATAAAGACAAGAAAGGATTTGAGTTCGTACTTTCTTTGCAAAATATTGCCATTTGCTAGAAGTGATTTTTTAATGGAAAAAATAATATGATAATTAATATTCATACTTGATGCATAAAAATTAGAAAGAAGACTAAACCCCAAATCCATGGTGTCCTTCAAAGTGCTCAGGGAGCAAGGTAGCCTGCAGGCGGCTTTTTGTAGTGAAGCCAGGTGTTCTGGCTGACCGGCTGTTAATTCAGAGGGAAGTGGATTGCTAGGGAAAAACATTCGCGCAGCATCACTGTTACTACGGAATATCGCATTCCAGCTTCTGCTGGAGCTTCCCATTAGTCATGGTGGGAAAGGATGCCTCA